AAGTTGCTAAAAAACTTTTTTTTACAGTGATCAGAGCATTTTGAACTGATTTTCGAGTCATTCACACACAGTGTATTCTCTTTGCATCTGTCCTTTTATTTTTTTATTGTGACGAATCTTTGAGATTCGACGGTCTGAGCTGACAGACCTACAGAATTCCCCTCTGCCTTTAGTGTTTTTGTCTGTTTACAGTACGTGTGAAGTGGGGAGCAGACCAATCAGTGGAGCGTAACTGTAGTACCCTCCAGTGTTTTGATATCTGTTGCAATCATCTTGCAGGGAATTCATTCATCCCAGCAGACAAAAAGCTGTTCTTACAATCTGTTTCCTGCACTGTAACATCTGTATCTTAGATCTCCCTGCAGTCTGCAGCACGTTTAAGCACACTCCTGCCCTAACATTTAATTATCGCCCGCTGACAAAAGGCAGGAGGAGGAGAGATGATGTTTTTGCTCGTGTCTGTAGCAAAATATCTCATGAACCACTGGACTAATTTTATGAAACCCACAGAAAGTAATCATTGGGTTTATCTCTTCAAATGATAAACATTTGAAGCCAATTTAATTTCAGGTGACTGCTAAAGCCAAATGACTTTAGCAAAATGGRTAGGACTTCATTAGTTTTATAGATAGACTTAAAAGTAGGTGTGGTGGTAGSAGAGAGTGATCCCCGACCAATAATCTGAGCTTTAACAGGCCATTTGTTTAAAACTTGGGCATGTATGGTTTTGATTTGCACAAAAAATATTAGTTTTTTAATGTTTTCGGTGTAATTTTTGAGCTAGTCTGAGTAGAATTGGAAACAAATTGATGGATGATAAAATTTCTGTACTGGAATTTGTCAAAATTAGAAAGAAAATGTCATTATATTGGATATCAGTCAAAAATATTACAGTATTGCTATTTAGATTTGAGGAACTAATTTGTGATTACATACAGACAGAAAGCAGCCTTAAATGAATAAAACTTTAAAAAAACTCCCCACAAAAACAAAACTTTGCAATTAGATCTGATGCTTTAAAACAAAAAGTATAGCCTCAAAAGGGGCAATGTTATGTGTTTCTCAGGCATACATTTAAATACTATACCATAATAAAGTATCTATGTCACCTTTAGTTGTTATTAAAATGCTGTTGTTATGTTTAAATAGAAAATAAACTTATCTTCTCATCACTTCCTCTTCTAAACGCCTTGAAATTGGCCTCTGTCTCTTTAAGAACCACCTGCCGCTTCTGTCCCGCCCATTTCGGTGCCGGTGGAGGCACTCCGCCATGAGGAAGTTCGGCTTAAAGACAAGTCCCAGGGGCATTTCTGGTCCCCACCTGTCGTTTTGCTCCTCAGCATGGCTTCATAAAAACACTGCAGGATTTCTCAAACATGCATGAATGAGTCAAAGCAAGGCTTTGGGCATGTTTTTTATGAGAGTATAACATTAAAACATGATATAAAACTCAAAAAAGTTGATTTTACTTAATATTGCCCCTTTAACCGCTCTTTGGATTAAATATATCAGGGATAGGCAATCCTGGTCCTCGTGTGCCGCTGTCCTGCATGTTTTGCATGTTTCTCTGCTCCAACACACCTGATCTGAACGAATGGTGATTAATAGGCTTCTGCAGAACTTGGAAGTGGTAAACAATCTCTGAATCAGGTGTGTTGGAGCAGGGAAACAAGTAAAACATGCAGAACAGCAGCACTTCAGCACCAGGATTGCCTACCCCTGAAATATATTAATGCCATTATTTCTAAAAMCAATTTACTCAAACTATATTTCATCCTCTGAGGTGCACAGACCSGTTTCCTAAAATAAATCCAGAGACACCCCCCCTCCTGCAACACCTCGCGCTGCTGACGGGCAGACGCATCATTATTTGTGGACAAACTCACCGCTGCCCCGACTCTTGCGGTTGGCCTTCCCCCCCGTCAGCAGCATCTTCAAGCTGTTCCTAAACATGCCTGCAGCGGACGTCCAACGCCAAAAAAAATCTGAAAGGAAAGGAAAACGCCTATTAATCTTTGTGAGGATACATTTTTAGTTACAYCAGGCTGTCTCTGCCAGGGAATCCACCTAACTGCGTTAAAGAAATTKATTAGTTTATAAAGCATTTATCAGGGATATCAAGGAGCGCTGCAAAGCTTCGGCCCTAAAGGTGGAAGAGAAAAACGGAAGCTTCAAAAGGAGTTAATGGGTGCTATGTATCAGAAAACTGAAGCTGGGAAAATCCCATTCATGACGCCTAATCTTATCTCCGCCATCAAAGCGCGAGATCAAATGTCTCCTTGTAATTAGAGAATAATGGAAGGAAGTACAAGTGGCTTTACAACACGCCTCAGAAGAAAGACCCCCAGCTTGTATTTTATTTTGTAAACACGCTGCGGCCAAGAGAAAGAAAGTGAGAWGGAAAATTCTTGCTTATTTCAAAACTATAAAAGGAGATTAAAAAAAAAAGCTTTTGAAGAGCTAAAGCAAAAATAAAAATAACACAAGTTAAATCTTTATCTGGAAAACAAAACAGTCAGTGTCACTAAATGGAAAAATTTGTTTTTTGTGTTTTTTTTTAAGATTTTCTTACAATAAAACAAAAAAGAAAAAAGTACAAAAAAATACAGTAGCTCAGTTTAAACAGAGAGGCAATAACAAAATGAAATCTACATAAATGTCATACATAACCAGCCAGTCAGTAAAACGGAAATCCTTGAAGTAATTGAGAGGCAACCTCTGTCCCAATATATTTCAGGTAAGGATCTTCAGTTTGAATAGAAAGTGTCCAGAGAGGAATTAAGCAAACATGTAATATATTCATTAGGAATACGTTCCTGTATTATATTGTGCCAAGATCTCATTGATGGTCCAGAATCCTTAATCCAAAAAAGCAAAAATATTCTTCCTGGTGGTGAAAGTCAGAAAGTTATAAAGATGTTTGTGTTCAGGCTTAATCAGTGGGTCTGAAAGGCRCAAAAGTAAACGTTTTGGATTTAACTGTAAAGATATAAGTCTTTAACTACATCAGACCAGTAATTCAGTATTTTCATACAAGACCACATAAAAAAAATCAGTTTATAAACCACACATTACTGGAAAACACTTTTAAAAA